ATTGCCAGAAAGAATTATTTGGGCTGCTAGAGTTTTGAGGAATCCAGAATATTAAATGGAATGGAATAAGCCTTTATTTTCATAGGACCTATTATGTGCCAGGCACTATGCTAAGGATCTTTACAAATATGATCTCATTTAATCCTCACAACAACCCTGAGGGTAGGTGCTATTATTATCATCCCCATTTTACAATTGAGAAAACTGAGGTAAACAGAGGTTAAGTGACTTAGCCAGGGTTATACAGGTAGGGTCTGAGACCAGGTTTGAATTCAGGTCTTCCTGACTCTAAACCAAGGAATCTACCTACTGTACTACCTACCTGCTTAGCTAGAAGAAATTAGGTGGATTTGCTGGTATATGATCCCTTACAATTTCTTCTAGTTTTTCAGTCTTTTGATTTTATTTTAATATTCCTTTTTGTCTCATTGAGTCATAATTTTTTTCTAATTTTCTGGCCCATTCTAATTTTCAGGGAATTCAGTTTGTGAGTAACATTTATCACCAAACGTTCCAAGCTATTATTTCTCATTATTTTTTCCTTACTTGCTGTCTTTTTTTTCAATGTTACATTTTGTATCTCTTGTTCTATTTTTTCCTGGTACTCTTATTGTCCTTGTAGCTAGGTGATTCTTTTCTTTTCTTTTCTGTTCTATTTGGTTTTAATGTGAAGTTATTCTTTTCTCCTGCGTTTACCACTTGGACTTCTCTTATTAGAAGGTTTTTCTTCATTGTGTTCTACATTCTCTTCTGTTTACTTGTATTTCCACCCTCAGTTTCTGGATTGGGCCTTTGTGTTTGGGTCAGATTCTGCTACTCCATACTCATTCATGGTTCGGATAGATCCTGTTTGGTCCTGGATACAATGGCTAAGACTAGGCCTCATTTCCTTCAGGAATTCCTAGGTTTCAGTTGGCTCTCCTGGTAGCTGGGCTTAGATTTTGACTGTGGCTCTTCTGTCTCTGTCTCCTTGAACAGTTTTGAATGAAGAGTTGGCTCTGTCTCTTGAAGTGATCCTTGTGGGCCCCAACCAGATATTAACTGTACTGGCAGCAAGACTCCTGTAAGATCCCAAAGCTGGTGCTTTGCTTGCCAGTTACTGCCCCTGGTCCTTTCTCTTACTATATTTCCTCTGGTTTGGGCATGGTCTGCCTAGACATTGGGTTGCCCAGGTGATGTTCTGACTTTGTTTCCTGCTGTGTTTCAGATTGGACTTCCTGGTCTTTTGGGTTGGACATGGCCTATCTAGGTTCTGATCTGTTTCCTGTGGTGGCTTAGGCATTGGCCCTGCAGGTGCTGGTCTGGCCTTGTCTTGTATATGGAGGAGTTTATAGCTATTTCTCTTTAGTTTTTTTTTCTAATTACTATTGCTTCTGTTGCATTTTTAAATCTTAACTTCTGCTCTTGGCTCTTCTAGATCCTAATGCACTGTCACCTTCCACAATTCCCATAGGTAGGTTTGAAATTTGTGGTGACCATGGTGCAACTATCTGGGGCAAAATCTGCTCTGTTAAATGTACTGCTTCTTAGATTAGCAGAACTAGGAAACAAAAACTTTGATGAGTAGTCCAACCCCTTCATTTTTTCAGAGAAGGCAACTGAGGCACAGAATAGTAAATGAACTTGCCAAAGATCACATAGTAACAGGGCAGGAACTGGTAACTAGGTCTTCTGATTTCCAACCTAGTACTTCTCTGCCACATTGACATCAGAAAATTCTGATTCTCTAGACAGGGCTTCTTAAACTTTTTTTACTCCTGGTTTCTGCAGCATTCATTGGCATTGCATGGCCTGAGGGCATGCGCAGTGCTTAGGAGCTAACCTCTGAAGCTGTGGACCAAAGACCTTCAACTTTTATTCATTTTATCCTCAGAGCTTAGCACAGTACCTGGCCATGCTAAATTAAATGCCTGGTGGGCGGAATAAAAGCAATACTTGCTTGAGCTCTCCTCCAAACCTCTCCAAATACCTGTAAAAAATGACTCTAAACAAATTCTAGAGCAGCAGAACCCACAAAAAGACAGAGTGAAACAAATTTCCAGTCCAAGACAACCTGGAGGGTCGACAGGAAGGGTCTGTTGCACTGGACTGAGAGAGGTGCACAGTACAGCGAAAGTGCCCCAGCGAACCCAGAGCAGGCTTCAGGGGATTGAATTGCAGGTAGCTGTGGCGGTTTCTAGACCTCTCAAACAAATGCCAAAGACAACTTAGAAGGTCAATGGGAAAGGTCTGTCAGATCTGAGTGAGAGAGGAGGAGCACTTTCCAACCCTGGCCCCAGCACAGCCCCAGGGCAGCGGTAGCAGCAGAGGTGGCTGCTTTCAGAGCTCTCAGCCCACAGACATAAGGGGATCAAACAACTGATCAGAAGGAGATCACAGGGGTCTCTTTGCTGGCACTGCGGCAGCATTCTGTTGCTTTGCCCATACTTAGATCTAGGTCACAGTCCTGGGTAGCAGTCCTTGGGTGAGGTGGAGCATTAGCATAGCAGGGCTTGTGGCAGCAGTACAGAGAGAATCCTCCTTACATTTCCAGGGCAGAAAAGAGTGCTTGTGGTCACATACAGGCCAGGAGAGGAGTAAACACCTTTCCTTAGATCATAGCACCTTGGAAGAACTGAGAACTTACAGATCCCTAGAATTATCTCTAAAAACAGTTGCACAATACCCCTGAAACTTGGGACAGCTTGCTTTCTACCCTGGAAGCAGAGCCGTACCTTAATGAAGAGTTAAAAAGTCAAATAATTGTCTGGGAAAATGAACAAACAGGGCAGCTAGATAGCACAGTGGATAGAGCACCGGCCCTGGACTCAGGAGGACCTGAGTTCAAATCCAGACTCAGACACATAACACATACTAGCAGTGTGACCCTGGGCAAGTCACTTAACCCCATTGCCTAGCCAAAAGACAAAAAAAAAAAAAGAAAAGAAAAGAAAATGAACAAACAGCCAAAACAAACAAACAAACTAAAAACCAACCTTAGACTATAGAAACATACTTTGACAAGGAAGATCAAAACATACACTCAGAAGAAGACATCAAAGTAAAAGCTCCTACATCCAAAGCCTCTAAGAAAAATGTGACTTGGTCTCAGGTTATACAGGATCTCAAAAAGGATTTTGAGAAGCAAGTAAGAGAAGTAGAGGAAAAACTGGGAAGAGAAATGATAGTGATGCAAGAAAATCATGAAAAACAAGTCAACAGCTTGTTAAAGGAGAACAAAATTAAAATACTGAAGAAAATAACATCTTAAAAAATAGACTAACCCAAATGGCAAAAGAGGTCCAAAAAGCCAGTGAGGAGAAGAATGCCTTCAAAAGCAGAATTGGCCAAATGGAAAAGGAGTCCAAAAGCTCACTGAAGAAAATAATTCCTTAAAAATTAGAATGGAGCAAATGGAAGCTAATAACTCTATGAGAAAACAAGAAATTATAAAACAAAACCAAAAGAATGAAAAAAATAGAAGGCAATATGAAATATCTCATTGGAAAAACAATTGACCTAGAAACTAGATCCAGGAGAGATAATTTTAAAATTATTGGACATGATCAAAAAAAGAGCCCAGACATCATTTTCAAGAAATTATCAAGGAAAACTGCCCTCATATTCTAGAACCAGAGGGCAAAATAGAAATTGAAAGAATCCACCAATCACCTCCTGAAAGAGATCCCAAAAGGAAAACTCCCAGGAATATTATAACCAAATTCCAGAGTTCCCAAGTCAAGGAGAAAAGCAAGCAGCCAAAAAGAAATAATTCAAGTATTGTGGAAACACAATCAGGATAACACAAGATTTAGCAGCTTCTATATTAAGGGACTGGAGGGCTTGGAATATGACATTCTAGAGGGCAAAGGAAATAGGATTACAACCAAGAATCACCTACCCACAAAACTGAGTATAATCCTTCAGGGGGAAAAATGGATATTCTTTGGGATATGCACAATTTTATAGCCCTTTGGGCATTGCTCTCCAAAATGGTTGGATCAGTTCATAACTCTACCAACAATGCATTAGTGTTCCAATTTTCCCATATCTTCTCCAACATTTATCATTGTCCTGTTTTGTCATGTTAGCCAATCTGATAGGTGTGATGTGGTACCTCAGAGTTGTTTTGATTTGCATTTGTCTAATCAATAGTGATTTACAGCGTTTTTTCATATGATTATAGATGGCTTTAATTTCTTCCTCTGAAAACTGTCTGTTCGTATCCTTTGACCACTTATCAATTGGGGAATGACTTGTATTCTTATAAATTTGAATCAGTTCTCTATATATTTTAGAAATGAGGCCTTTATCAGAGACACTGGCTGTAAAAATTCTTTCCCAGTTTTCTGCTTCCCTCCTTGAAAATTTCAATGACCATAATTATGTAGCTAAGATTGTCATTCAAAAATGACATATTGTTCTCATGCTGTTAGAGTTGTTAACTGGACGACACAACCATTCTGGAAAATAAGTTGAAATTGTGTGAGAAAAGTCACAAAACTTTTCATATCCTTTGGCCCAGAAAGCCCACTGCTAGACACGTGCCCCCAAGGAGATCAAACACAGAAAGAACGGCCCAAAGATAGTAAAATATTCATAGCAGTCTTTTTTTTGTAGTTGCAAAGAACCAGACAAAGTGAATGCCTTTCCCAACCACAGTGCCCCCCCTAGCTGTGAGGGCCATCTCTTCCCAACTGACTTATATTTCTGTCTCCCCGAGTAGTGTATCAGCTCCTTGAGAGCAAGGATTGTTTTATTATTTTTTTTGTCTTTGCGGGCCCAATGCCTAGCACAGTGCCTGGCACGTAGTAGGTACATAATAAATGCTTGACTGGTAAATGGTTGAACAAATCGTGGTATATAAATATAATGGAATATTATCTTGATGTAAGAAATGATGACCATAAGGAATACAGGGAAATGTGGGATGGGTCGACTTGTATGAACCGATGCACGGTGAAGCAGGCAGAGCCAGGGTAACAATAGACAAAATGACTGTGACAAAGTAAACAATGAAATGAAGCTGTAGGGCATCAATAAAACTTTTTAAGAAGAAATAAAGTAAACAGTAATGACTGATCTTGGCACTGATAAGCCACCATCAAAGGATAGCCCCATCTGTCCATGATTTCCATTAGAGGTGTGTTGATGGATAGCTATTTAATAGATGCACAAACTGAATCACATAAGCTAAGTCTGTGGCTGCGCAAAGGTCACTTTGAGTCCTAAACTCAAACTCTTCACTGCTGTTTGAAGTTTGATTTTAATATCATCTGGCAGTGCATAAGCTGTATAAGAAACTTCTGTCTCATGTGAATGATGGGGAAAAACAGAATAGGAATATGGAACCTGATTTTGACCACTGATGTTCAGTGTAGAAGGCAGTGTGGAACAGTCATCTGTCTGTGCCTAGAAAAAGAGTTTTTCAGAAGTATGTCTGGTGAATAAAAATGATCTCAGATGGCTTTTTGGGAGAAGATGAGTTGGGAGCCTCTGTCCTGGGTCCAACCTAGAGAGCAAGAAGAAATACACAAAATAATGGATACAAACAGGGTATTCCATGGGTCCAAGGTGGGTCCCTGTGATAGGGTTATAAACAAGGTGCATCATCTCTCCTATAGTTCTGGGGTCATTTCATTCTACCCTTTTGTGACCCATTGCTCCTGGTAAAAAGAAGCAGAGTAGCATATTGCAAAGAGCACTGCCCTTAGAGCCAACAAGACCTCAGTTCAAGTTCTGCTTCTGATACACGCTGGCTATGTGACCCTGAACAAATCATTGACCTTCTCAGTGCCCTAGTTAACTCTCCAAGACTTTAAGTTGCACTCCAGAAGCCTCGGGATGGAAAATGCTGTTCACATCCAAAGAAAGAACTATGGAAGTCGAATCGCTATCACTTATTTTTACCTTCTGTTGAGTTTTGTTTCATCTTTCTGATGGTTCCTCCTATTGGTTTTAATTTGTACTTACAACTTCACTAATGTGAAAATATGTTTCATGGGTATGTAAATGTAAAGCCTATATCAGATTGTGTGCCGTCTTGGGGAGGGTGGGGGGGAGGAAGGGGGAGAAAAATTTTCAACTCAAAAGCATGTGGAAGTGATTGTTGATAAATCAAAATAAATTAATAAAATTTTTTTTAAAAGACTTTAAGTTGTAGAGCAGGTGCTGATTTGCATTGGTCGAAGGGACTCACACCAATGAAATCACAAGTCTGGTAAAAAAAAAATGTAGGAAATGCTTTGGCTCCCTCTTCCAAGAAGGTATGTGAATGGTGTAGGTGTAGACAGGGTAGAACCTACAGCCCAAAGTGTCCACCTCTGTCTGACCTTCTCTGTAATGTACAAAAAGGACCCCTATACCTGCAGCCATACTAAGAGCCAAATGCTGATCCATGAGGACTTTATTTTATTTTCTGCATCAAGACCCAGGTCAAACCAGCTACATTATCAAAAGGGATGTAGATTTTAGGCCTAGTGGACCAGGCATTCTCTGATTCCCACCCAGATGGGAATTCCACTTGGCTGCACTCCTTTCGATTTCTCCATCATGCTCCCAGCAACTTCATCATAGTTGCTTGCACATTATCATTCCTATTAGACTGCACTCCTTGGGTCAGTTTTTGCCTTTCTTTGTATGCCTAAGGGCTTAGCAACAATGCCTAGCACACAGTAGGTGCTTAATAAATGCTTGTTGACTGGCTATTGACTGAGATAGAATAGTAAGGTTTGCAAAGGCCTTTATACATATGATCTCATGTGAGCCATACAGCAGTCCTGTGAGAGAAGAGATTTCAGGTATTCTTATACTCATTTTAAAGATGAAGAATATGAGAAGTGAGATGACTTGTCTGTGGCCACGCAGCTCCTAAGGATCCAAGGCAGGTTTCAAACCCAGGTATTCCTGATGCTAAGTTCTCTGTTGTGTGTCCTTCACAATGCAAAGCTTAGAGCAGGTTCTGGGGGCAGGTAGCAGGAGTCACCCTTACCACCTGGCCACCAACCGGTCATCTGAGAAAGCTGTAGAAAGACTCCCCATCATACATTCTCCATTCCAGACGGGCCTACTTTGTATCGCCAACATACAACATTCCGTGCCCAGCTTTCATTCCTTTCTTTGCACGAGTTGAACAGAACTCTTTTTCACCTTAACTCTTTCTATTGGAAATCCTTGAAGACCTATCCCAGGTGCTACCTCCTATTCAAGACCTTTCTTAATTCCCCCTGGTTGTTAGGGCTTCAGGTCCCTTAAATTATCTAAGAATGTTAGCTCTTTGAAGACAGGACTATCTCTTTTTTTTTTTGTCTTTGTATGTCTAGTTGCACATAGTTGAAGCTTAATAACTGCTAGTTAAAGGAATAAAGCAATGCACGAATCCACAATTTGTTTAAGCTTTAGAAGAATTAGAGACCCCGATATTCTCAGTCCTGAGTGATACTGACAGTGCTTTAGGCAAGGGAGAGAAGGGGTCTGGTCTCTCCTCCAAATCTTCCTTATAGTCAAAAGTGGGATCTACCCCTGGGACGAAACTGGAGTTTAATCTGTGATAGCAAAAAGTGAGTCTGGTTGTGGTAGCTGCACTAGTTATGTCAGACACCAGAGGGAGCCAGTAGCACACACGCCCTGATGAATGGTTGGGAAAGGAACAGGACTAAGGAAGCTGCTTTGTTAAGAATGTATAAGGATTTGAAGTGCCTTAGCCTAGTACTGCCAGACTCCAAGAGGGCAGTTCTAAATGAGGTCGAGGTCATCTAGCAGGAAACTGAGGCCTAGGATGGTTCAGTAACTTGCCCACGATCCCATGGATGACCAGCCAGTGCTAGATTTTGAGGTTTGCAAAACACTATAAATGTGTTATCTCATTTGATTCAAGTGGAATGTGTCATTATTTTCTCCATTTTACAGATGGAGAAATTGAGGTTGAGAGGTTGAGTGATTTGTCCAAGGTCATGCTGCTCTCAAGTGTCTGAGGCAGGGTTTGAACTCAGGTCTTTCTAGATTCCAGGTCCAGCACACTATCCACTACACCCCCTGGCCACCTTATAATTAAGTGAATGGTAGGGGGGTGAGATTTGAACTTGGGTCTTGGGTCCAAGTTCAGTGCTCTTACTGGTGTTTGTCCTCCATTCTCAAAGCTGTATGCCATCCATAATGGCAGAATCACAGAATCTCAGTCTTGGAAGGGTCCTTAAAGACCACTGAGTCCAACCTGCAGTTGGCCAAGAATCTCCCCTCTGACATCTCCAACAGAGTCAACCAGACTTTGCTTAAAGACCTCTGGGTTGGGGGGCACCCCACATGACCTCCCTAAGGCAACCTACTCCATTTCTGGACTGCTCTCATTGTTGGGACATTTTCCTTCCAAGCTGTCTCCACCACTTCTGCCCACTGATTCTAGTTCTGCCCTCTAGGGCCAGGGGTGAGAGCTCTGACTCATCCCCCCCACCCCTCCTCCTTCTGTGTAACAGCCCTCCAAATACCGTCAGCCCATGAGGTGTCCTTGCCATGCAAATTGGGAACATTATGAAAACTATGCAACTTTCCTTGTCAGGCTTTCCTGTTATTGGGCCTTCAGTTGCCCCAGGCTGGGGCCCTCCACCGATGCCATCTTCCTTCTGTCTTCTCCACTGTTGACAACGGCACAAGTTCCCTGCCCTACGGCATGCAGGCTGAAGGCAGAAGAGAAGCTCGGGGTAAGGACGGTAATTTTACCATCAATGCCTCAGCCCTTCCTCCCCCCTCAAAGAAAATGAACCAATAGGTGTTATCTCCTCAAAAGGATTCTTTGAGACCCAGTCTTTCCAGGGCAGTGTCACTGGGGTTATGGAAGGAGGATGGGCAAAAGACAGTCTCCCTAGACCCAGTGGGCCAGTGCCCCCTTATAAGAAGCAAACTTACTGGGCAGGGGACTTCGAAAATGACAAACACAATTATGGCTAGTCCACTCGTCAGCAGGATGACGGCAATGAGGGCTTTGACCACAACGCTCCATCTCTTCCTCAGAAGAAGGTACTCATCTGTGTCTGAGTGGGCAAGGGAAGGGGAGAAGAAAGACAAAGGGTGATCAGAATTGGAAAGGACTTTGCTGGCTGTCCAGTAATAATGACAATAACTGGCATTGATACAGAGATTGAACATCTGCAAGGTGTTGTACATGTGTTATCTATCATTAGATACTTGCCACAACCCTGTGAGGAAGGTGCTTTTAGTATCCTCATTTTATAGATGGGGAAACTAAGACTGAGGAAGTTAAATGACCTGTCCAAGGTCAAAAAGCTAGTAATACGTCTGAGGAGGGGTTTGAACTCAGGTCTTCCTGAGTCCAAGTCCAACAGTCTCTTTCTAGTACCCCATTTAGTTGCCTGGGAATCCATTCCAATCTATAAGGTAAAAAGCAACATCTACCTCCTGACAGAGACAATAAACTCAAGAAGCAGAATGAATCCTGTATTTTTGGACATGGCCCATGTGGGAATTTGTTTTGCATGACTATATGTATTTGTCATGGGGATTTTAATTTCCATTTTTTAATTGTTCAGTTGGGAGGGAGACAGTAAGAGAGAAAGATAATAAATACTTGTAAAAAATAATTTTAAAAAATCAGTCTAATTTCCTCGTTTTACAAAGGAGGAAATTAGGACCCAGAGAGGGGAGGGACTTGCGTGAGATCACCCAGAAAAGGTAATGGTAGGATCATTTATTTTAGAGACAGGAAGGACCTTAAAGGCCATTGGGTTGAACCATTTCTTTTTCTTTTTGATTTGGATATGATTTTATTGCTACAGGGAAGGTCCACATAAGCAAACTTTTTTTCCCAAAGGAGGTCAGAGCTTGCTGTGCAGTGGAGAGTCTTAAGAGAGTTGGGGGAGGGAGGGATCTGGAGGGTTGGGGTCACTTGCCCAGGGTCCAGGAGTGTACTGGGAAATAGTTCTCTGTAAAAAAAAAATGTACAGAGGCCACACTTTTAAGTTTAATCTGAGTTATTAGCATTTTCTCTATCACTTTGTTCAGTCTAGAGACAATCCACAAAATGAGATATCAAGCCCTGATTTATAGCATTTGCTGATTTCCAAGGAAATTTAACAACAGACTCTCTTCAAAGGTTCAGCTGGTTCTAGCATATCCCTGCCAGGGTCATACAACCAGTGTGTGTCAGGGGTGGGATTTGAACCCAAGTCTTCCTGACTGTGATTCAGGTTCTTCTACTATACCATGCTGCCTTTCACTCACTCATTTTGCAAAGAAGGAACCTGGGACCCAGAAGGGCATCACTTGCCTGAGTCAGACAGATCAGAGAATCATAGGCTTATATATTTAGAACTGGATGGGACCTTAGGGAATGTGAGGAAACTGAGGCCTACGTTTATACATGCCTGTGTGTGCATATACATATGTGTGTATACACACACACACACACACACACACACACACACACACATACACATATACCTAGACAGCAGCTAGTTGGTGTATATATATGTACATATATATCTATATAAACACATACATATACACAAATATATACATATATTTGTATATATACATATTTGTGTATATATCTGTGTATGCACACATATGTACATAAATCTACACATACATTTATCTCTATATCTATCCATCCATCTATATCTCTTTCCATCTATATCCATTCATCTGTTTATTCATCTATATCTATCCATTCATCTATTTATCCATCTATCTATATCTATTCATTCATCTATCTATCTGTATCTATCTTTCCATCTCTATCTCTATCCATTCATCTATCTATGTCTATCTATAGCTCTATCTCAGAGATCAAATTCCAACTCAGATCTCTCTGGCTCCAGATCCTATGTACTTCACACTGTGTACACTTTTCTGTAAACTCAAGGGGTCTCCTATAAGATCAGATTCCTTAAGTTTCCTCTGAGGCTGAATATCTTATTCAGTTTCAAATCCTCCATTCCTCACTCTCACTGCCCCTTCTACCCCACCGCATGTCCAGTCAATTGCTGAATCCTGTCACTTCAGCCTTGGCAACATCTCTCCCCTGACATTGCCAGCACCTTAGTCCAGGCCCTCATAACCTCATATCTGGACTACAGCAATAATCTGCTGGTTGGTCTCCCTGCCTCAAGTCTCTGCCTACTCCAGTCCATTCTCCACTCAGCTTTCAGTGATCTTCCTAAAGCATACTCTGACCATGTCAACCTCCCACACCCTCCCCCAATAAACTCCAGTGGCACTCTTTATTACCTACAGGATAGGTTGCCTACCTTAGCAGGGGATAGGAGGATGTAATCCAACCCTGTCATTTTATAGATAGGAAAACTGAGGCTCAAAGTGGCGATATCTTGCCAATGGGATATACAGCTAGGGAGTGTCAAAGACAGGATTTGAACCCTAGTCTTCTGAGTATAAGTGCAGTATTTCGGATGCAGCTATGTGGTAGACTAGACAGAGCTTGGGCCTGGAGTCAATAAAACCTGAGTTCAAATCCAGCCTCAAACACTTATTAGCTATGTGGCCCTGGGGAAGTCATTTAATTTCTGTCTGCCTCAGTTCCCTTAATTGTAAAATGAGGATAATAATAGTAACTAGGATTATCGTGAGAATAAAGTGAGATATTTGCAAAGTGCCTGGCATATAGCAAGTGCTTAATAAATGCATATTTCATTTTCTCCCCCATGCCAAGCTGCATCTTATAGCTCAACTTCACCTGCATTGAGGACAGTGTCTTTGGCTGTCATTAATGTCAGAGTGCAAAGTTCCCAGGATGTAAGTGTATGTTTAGGCAAGCTAATGTCCCCAAGTGGCATAGTAGATAGGAGGGTGGTCATATCGTCAATCAATTAACAAATAAAAAATGTACTAATTACTTACTACTTGTTAGGCCCTGAGGATACAAATGCAAAAGTGTAAAAAAAAAAAAAAGCTAAGAGAGAGCTAAGTCTGAATCTCACTTCTGATACAAACTATTTTACAGGGCAAATCGCCTCCTCTCTGATTCTCAGTTTCATTAAACATAAAATGGTGATTCTAGTACTCACCTTACTAGGTTGTTGGGAGGCTTAAATAAGATAATGTATGGAAAGTGATTTTTAAAGTCTGAAGTACTCATGTATAGCAAGTCTGCCTTAGAGTTGGGAAGACCTGGGTTCAAATCCTGCCTCTGACACATACTGGCTGTACTTAATCTCTCAGTGCCCTAAGCACCTTTCCAAAACTACCAAATTGTCCATGAGTTGCTGATTACATTGGTGAAACATGTTTCAATACCCAGAGTTCCCTGTGATCATGAAATGGCAGGTGTGGATGATAGGTAAGTAAGCAGATAAATAAATGTCAGTTATTCTTCTAATTATCATTCGGTATAAACCTTGTGTTTATCACAAGCTTTCAGAAAACTTTCATAGAGTTTTCCCAAAGAGGCCCGGGTTATTGCTGGATTGCCCTTATTTCTCTTCCCCTTAGACCAGCTGCATGCTCTGCCTTGCTGTAGAGGGACAACCATTACCAGTAATAGGCGTCATCTCCTCTTCACTGTCCTCTGCAGTGGTAGCGATGGTGGCGGTTGGTGACGATCTCTTCGATGAGGCCTCAAACACAAGGTAGAGCTTACAGTTGGAGATACTGGGTAATAACACTAGAGAGTGAGAAACAATTGAAGTAGAGCATTTGAGAGTGTTCTGCTCTGTTTTTCTCATCATAATACCCCAGGTATACACACAGTCAGCTATACCATGACCTCACTGACCTAGCCCACAGGTACAGGGTATGGTCAGAAGGCAGGGCCAGGGTGAATGAGAACAAGAATGTTGAGTAAATAGCCAAAGGAGGCCAATGACTGCAGGAAGATTAGACCTGGGAACGATGGTATCTGGCTTGTATCATCACTCTCAGGGTCATAGTAATAATGTCGTTGGGAGTTACCCTGTGGCATGTCGTCTTTTTTTTTCTTAATGAAGTACTCTGAAGTTCAAGGATCTGGACGATGTTGAAGCTGCCGTCTCCTCTGCTGAACTGAATTCAACTGAATGCTCTGGAAAAGGCTTGGAAGAGCATAGGCTGTGTTGGTAGGGGAAGGGAGAAGCTGTGATTCAGCACTGCCAGCTCCTTAAATCAGAGGAGATGTCCGGGGTTCAGCTCCCCCCCAGGCTCTCTGCTTTTCAACAGGGCTAGACCATGCTCAGTTTTACCTCGTGGCCTCTGTTTCCTCATATGTAAAAGAAGGAGCTTGGACTAAGGTCCTTCTAACTCTAAAACGTAGGCTGTTATGGAGCCCAGAATGGTTAAGTGACTTCCCAGGGTCACCCAGGGAAGGAACAGAACCAAAACCTAAGTCCAGGTGCTCTAACTCTGAACTCAGTCCTCTTTGTGACTGTACTCCACTATAAAGCATTCTGACAAAGGTTCCTAAGCTCTGCTTTCTGTTTCTAACGTAATTCATTCTGCTGAGAGCCTGAATCTACAAAAATAACACTGGAGGTGCCGGGCCAGGAGGCCTGGAGAATGTCAGATTCCTTTCATGTGTCAGGCACCATCCATAAGGTTTCAGATGAAAAGTGCTATCACCCTCAAGAGTTTTCCATTTATTCTAGAACACTGGGTCGTCATGAGAACAGAGACTATGCTGACAGAGATAGGCCTGATAATCCGGAGATTACAAAGGAAAAGCAGAGAAAATAGGTGATTTCAGTGTGATGATTCTGTCAGTGAATATTCAGTTTTTAAGCGTAAAACTGCACTAAGACTTTTGGGACAGGCTGTAGGCATCATCTCCCCCCAATTAGGATTGTGAGCACCTTAAGAGCAAGGAATGTTTCCTTTTTTCTATTTGTAACTTAGCACAGTGCTTGGTGCATCATAACTTCAAAAACATCTTTTCAAGGGGCAGCTAGGTGGCTCAGTGGATAGAGCACTGGCCCTGGATTCAGGAGGACCTGAGTTCAAATCTGGCTTCAGACACATAACATTTACTAGCTATGTGACCCTGGGCAAGTCATTTAACCCCATTGCCTAGCCAAAAACAAAAACAAACAAACAAACAAAATCTTTTCATTCATTCATCACTGGCATTGAAAAGAAGAAAATCTTTTGTTTCCTTTTTTTTTTCCTGGCCCTTCCTAAGAGCTCTAGTCCCCCTTGGAAATTGGTGGTATCTCATGGGATCATAGATTTAGAGCCAGATGGAACCCTATAGGCCACCTCGTCCACTGTCCTCATGTTCCAGATGAAGAACTATATTATATGTCTTGCTCAGGGACACCCAGGTATTAAGCAGCAGAATACATCTTCCTCCCCAGCCTAAGTCACTATCCGTCCAGCTTGTAGGGACAAGTAGTCAGTGTATTTTTAGTCCTGCTTAGCTTATGTCAGTATTTGCAACTCGGATTTCTCAGGTGTCATCTCCTGTGGGAGGTGACTGGCGAGGGACCCCTCAGGTTATTCCCTGGAGAGAATGGATGGAAATTCATTGTTGATTTTTCTTTAGCTAAAACTCAAAAGTCAGGCTAGTGTAGAAGAAAAGATACTGTACCTGGATTCAGAAGCCCTGGGGTCAGGTTCTAGATATGCCACTCACCAGCTATTTGACCATTCTATTCAATTTAATAAACATTTATTAAACACCTACTGTGTGCCAGGGGAAAAGAATAATCTCTCTAAGCCTCAGTTGCCTCCTTTCTTTTAATTAAAATAATAAAATATTATGCACACAATCTATCTAGATGAATTATGAGTAAAAACCTTCAATCGAATGTAAAGCCTGGAAGAAGAAGAGAGGAAAATACACCTCCATTCCTGATTTCCAGAGGTGGGGTGCATCTAACATGGTTGAGGTGTTGGTTGGTTTTGCTAAACTGCTTTTTCTTCTCTTTCCTTTAAAATCTTTGTTAAGGGACAACTCTCTGAGATGGGTAAGGGACTAGGATGTATTTGGAAATGAAGATAATGTAAGACAGCTAGTTAGTATAGTGGATAGGAATGCTGGCTGTGATGTCAGGAAGACCTGAATTCAAATGTCTCAGATGCTTACTGGCTGTGTAATGCTTGGCAATTGATTTCACCTCACTTGGACTCAGTAAAATGGGGATAGTATTAGAACCTGGGTCAGCTAGGTGGCACAGTGGATAGAGGGCCAGGCCTGGAGTCAGGAAGACCTGGGCTTGAATCCAACCTCAGACACTTACAGTGTGACCCTGGGCAAGTCATTTAACCCTTTTGCCCTCAGATTCCTCATGTGTAAAATGAGCTGGAGAACCATTCTAATATCTTTGCCAAGACCCCAAAAGGGGTCACAAAGGGTCAGACATGACTGAAAATGACTAAACAACAACAAATTAGGATCTATCTCTTTCACAGGATTGTTGTGAGGGTCAAATGTACAGCACTTTGCAAAACCTAAAGCCCTATAAAAGTTCTAGCTGTTATTATATAGAAGCAAGATATAAATAAAAACACAATATAAAAAGTAAAAGACTCCAGAACTATCAGACAAGTGGGCAAGTCACTCAATACCATTAAGCCTCAGTTTCCTCATCTGTAAGACAGGGTGAACTTACATCCTGGGGTTGTTGTGAGGATCAAATGAGATCGTATTTGTAAAGCATTTTGCAAACCTTAAAGAACCATATAAATGCTATTATTATTATTATTAATAATTTGTACTATCTGTTTCACAGGATTATGCAACCCAAACAAACCCTGCTTTCAGAACCTCCCCTCTACCAAAAGCCCCAGGGACAAAAGAGTTAAGTTAGGAGGCAATTATTCAGTTGACTGAATCTTAGTTTCATTTGAATGGTGAGCCTGCCTAATCATTGGGGAATAAGACTGGCAGGGTTGCTGAAGTGTGTCAGGGTTATGTCTGTCCTTGCAGGTCTGGATCCTCAGCCTTGTGGGCTCAGAATCTCCATTTCATTCATGGAGTATTAGGGCTAAAAAGACTTCGAAGGATCAAGAACTGCTTTGCACTAGATGAACTCCAAAGTCCCTTCCAGCTGTAAATCCTATGACCCTTTGATCCCATGATCCCATCTATAATCCCTGGTCTCAAATTTTTAGGTCTTGGGACCCCTTTTACACTCTTAAAAAAAAAAAGAGCTTTTGTTTGTGTGGGTTAGATCTATCAATATTTACTATGATAGAAACTAAAACATCTAATTGTTATTAAACAGACAGTTTTGACTTTGTGGGGGCTCTCAGGAGTCCTTTGACCTCACTTTGAGAACCGCTGGTCTAGATTAACTCTTCAAGAAGAAGAAAGTGAGGCCAGCGAGGGGGGGGGGTCATTGTCTAATGTAACCTGAGGAGCAGGAGAGCCCACATCTCCTCCCTCCCACTTTGGGGCTTATTTAGTTTGTCCTGGGGGTGATCAGGCCCTAAGAAGTTGATTCATGATAACCAAACTTACAGAAGTCTGATTAATAAGTGCCAATTTATTGATTTACAATGGAGTTAATATCTCTCATGTGGATTAAAGAGCTTTACCTTTCTGATGCAAACGTGATCACAGTTGTCTCACTCTCTCCTTCAGTGTTCTCATGTTTCTGCCCAGCCATTCTGCTGGCTAGTTCTAGGATGCCAAGCTGGGGTGGCCCGTGCCCCAACATCTGGTCTCTTAGGGTGCATTGAGCCACCGAATTCTCTTGTCCTAAATGTGGAAAATCTCTTTCCTTCTTACTTCAGCCACCATAGGGTCTGAATGTTTCAAATAGAGCTTTTACCAGGAAACTAAGGGAAAAGCCAATCCTCAAAACATAAAATTACACTTGTAGAATCCAGATTTTTAAATTAATGTTTAGCCACTAACTGCTTTAATCTGGCACACAGCTTCCTGGGCATTCTCTCTCTCACACACGCACGTAAGTCCCCACTCCTGTTTCCATTCCCAGCCTTGCCTGTCCTATTTAATTTAGCAATAGCATATTTGCTAGTTGTAAATTTGTCACCCTTCATTGAGGTTTGGCTTTTTTACAATCTAGCAATATATAATAAGAGTCATAAGACTGTTCTTACCCTTTGACCCATCCAGTGATCCCACTACAAGGACTATACCCTAAGGATCATGGAATTGTAGATTTAGAACTCAGAGGAATCTCAGAGGCTTAGTCCAGACCTCTGAAAGTTTTGGAAACTGCACCCCAGAGAGGTAAAAGCCTTGCCCAAGGTCACACAGGCAATAAGTGGCAGAACCAGAGGCAGCTTGGTGACATGGTGGATAAAGTACTGGATTCGGTGTCAGAAAGACTGAATTTGAATCCTCTCTCAGACATTTATAAGCTGTGTGATACTGAGCAAATCTCTCTGTGCCTCAGTCTCCCTATCTGTACAATAAGGGAGTTGGAGATGCTGGCCTCTAAAATCCCTTTCAGCTCTAAATTTATGATCTTTTGAAATTAAGTCGTCTCACTGAAGACCTACAGTTCCTTCCGTTATATCATGCCTACGTGTACAAGGGTATTATATCGAATCTTATTCATAGTAGCAAAACACACTTACATTTCTATAGTGCTTTAAGGTTTGCAAAGAACTTTACAAATATGTCACTTGATCCTCATAATAATCTGAGAAATAGGTGATACCTTATACATCCTTATTTTACAGATGAGGAAATTGAGGCATACAGATGTTAAGTGACTTGCCCAGGGTCACACAGCTAGGAAGTATCTGGGGCCACACTTGAACTCTGGTCACTGTATCCACTGTACCACCTAGTTGCCTCTTCTTTCCCTCCCTAGCTAATTATGAGGTGGGGAGAGGGAACTCAAAGTACCTGCCTCTTCAGGCTGCTGGTCAAGACCAGCCACATCCTTGGGTTGAATCCATCTTTCCCTCTCTGGTGGGCAGAGCCACTGCTCAGCATTAGGCCAACCAGCTATTCCATTGGATTTAATTCAACAAGGATTTATTAAACACTCGCATGCCAAGCCCTGTGTTGAGTACTAGGGATAAAATGACAAAAATGAAACCAGTCTCTGTCTTCAAAGGAATAAGTACAAAATATATTTAACATAAAAACAAGATGATTAAGTAGAGAGAAGGAGGGATTATGGCGATAATCTTTGGGGGGACCAAGAAAAGCCTCTTGGAGAAGGTGGCCCTTGAGGTAACAGGGCTTCAAGAGGCCGAAGTAAGGAGGGAGAGCATCCGAGAGTCTATAAAAAGAAACTGAGGCAGGTGACAGAATGACAGGTATGGAGAACAGCAAGTAAGCCAAAGCCCTGGCAGGGAACCACTGGCTGGTTTCAGGTCTGAGCCCTCTGGCTTCCCCCTGAGCTTCTGGTGTGCAAAGAGGTGTGCAAAGGGTGGAGAGAAGAATGGGCTGAGGGCAAGTAATGGGTCACTGGCTGGAGTCAGAGTGTGCTTCATATGTCAAACAAAGGAGCCAGTGTTTGATCCTGGAGAGCACAGGGAGTCAGGGAAAACTTCTTATGCAGGGGAACGACATCTTCAAACTGGTGCTATGATTTTAATTGGTTTGTTAGGCCATTGCTAGCTAGCTACCCAAGTGCTGAGTGACAGCTCAGTCAGCCAGTGTGTCATGGCTCAAAAGGAGGCGTGTGATCCTTTTCCAGCATTTTCACATGCCCCATTAGTACAAGCATCTGCATTTGCCTCTGGTCTACAGGTTCTTATCCCTTCACAGAGGACATTCACTTGGTCTTGTCTCTCTATTTCACTTTTCTTAGTTTGTAATGCCCACCTGATGTTCACCTTCTTTGGTGAGCTGATTGTTAAATTTTCACTGTGAGCATTTATACCTTGAAAATAAGGTAGTACTACAAATCATACTTCCAAAATGTTGGAATAGAATTGCAAGAACACTTGGAGACCAGGTCAACCCTTTCATTTTATGGAAGAGGAAAATGAGGTCCAGAGAGGGAAAATAACTTGCCAGGCCGACTGACTGCTAATCTAAGAGTCCTTGTCCTCTAAGAATTTGTGGTCTAATTAGGGAGACAATATGCATGTGTGCACACAAAAAGACTTAATGAAGACTCTAAGGCTTATGAAGAATATGAAGCAACAGTGTTTCATGTAAACTAATGCAAGTTAATTCAGAATAAGAGATACATTTTGGGGACATAATAACAATAGCTAACACTTATATAGAACCTGCTATATGCCAGACCCTTTACAATTATTTCATTTGTTCCATACAACAGTCCTGGGAGGTAAATACTCTTATTCCACATTTTACAGATGAGGAAATTGAGGCTAATAAGGGTTAAGTGATTTTTCCAGAGTCACAAAGCTAGCAAGTGTCTGAGGGTCATACAATTAGCAAACATCTGAGGCTGTATTTGAACTCAGGTATTTCTGACGCCAAGCCAGGCACTCTATCCATTGTCCTGCCTAGCTGTGTCTGACACAGCATGGTCAATATGCTTCTGACTCTCCCAGATTTTGCCATCATGCCTCTTCACCATGGAGCTGAGGCCTTCTCACCCTTAATATCTCTCTGCCATGCTGACCCTATTCTCCCATCGGTGATGTCTTTTTAGGGCCTCCACTTTGGAGAGTACCCAGGCTGGCCATATTTAATTCCCTTCCCTGGCTCTGCTTCTGACTCTCTAGAATTTGGGACCAATCCCACAGCAGGTACCCCTTCGGGGCCCTTTTATGTGTGGTCTCCCCTATTAGCATGTAAGGTCCTTGAGGGCAGTTAGTGTTTTTGCCTTTCTTTGTATCCCAGTCAGTGACTCAGAGACCTCCTCCAAACCAGGAGCCCTGTGTCTCACCTTGGGCGGTAAGATGGTGTCCAGCCTGGAACCACAGTTTGGGTGCTGTCGATAAGTAGCAGCGTGGTCCGGTGAGCTTGTCCCGGAGTGGAGCACTGATGACACTCAGGCTTTTCAAGGTATATCTGGCCTTTGGCCTTTTCTCTGAATCCTGGAGATTTATTGTCACTTTGCTCCCTGAGCCAAGGCATTGCAGGGTGGCCACTGTCTGGTTTTGGCCTGGTGCTTCCCTTTTGGCTTTTTCCTGGGCTTCTGGAAGGAGAAGTGGCCAAAGGTGAGAGAACACAGCCAGTTCTTCGTCTGAGCAGGAGGAGGCCTTGTTAAAAGCTGGATCAAATCCCTCTGAAGACCACCAACCTCATCTGCAGCTTGCAAATCAAATGCAAATTCTACCTGTTTCCTCTTTCCTTTTACCTTCCCATTCTTCCTTCTCTCTTCTCCCCTCCTCTCTTCTCCTCTTCTCTCCTTCCTTTCCCACTCCTCCTTCCCTCTCTTCTTCCCCTCCCCTCTTCTTCCCTTTCTTCCCTACTCCTCCTTCTCCCTCTCCTCCTTTGCTCTCCTCCCTTCCCTTCTTTTCTTCCCCTTCTTTCCTCTCCTTCCTTCCCCTCTCCTCCTCTCCTATGCTCCTTCTCTTCCCCTTTCTTTCTCTCCCCTCTCCTTTCTCCACCCTTCCCTTCCCCTTTTCCCCACCTTCTGGATTGCCTCTTTTCTTCCTTCCCTCTTCAGCATGCCCCCTTCTTTTTTAAAAGATGCAGATGAGGGGCAGCTAGGTGGTGCAGTGGATAGAGCACCGGCCCTGAAGTCAGGAAGACCTGAGTTCAAATCTGGCCTCAGACCAAACACTTGACACACTTACTAGCTGTGTGACTCTGGGCAAGTCACTTAACCCCAATTGCTTTAAAAAAAATTAAAAAAAAAAAGATGTAGATGTATGCCCACACAGCACCTAACTCAGAACAGCATGGTTTTTGACCTAATCTTCCCTCCTTTATTTTTAATAGACAGCCACCCTGGCAGTTCCCTGGAGGAAGAGGCTAATAGCTGGGGCTGGCACTCTGCCTGGTAAAGCAGGTGGGTACTTCCGTGTTGTGATTTTGTGTGATGTGGTTGTTGCCCCTGGTTTCCTCCCCTTCCTGCTCTTCTGTCTTGCTGTCAACAGTTTCTCTATTATCCTATGGGTCAAAGCTTTCTTCCCCCATAATGAGCGTGGGGATGTTAAGGCCTAGGAGGGCCATGTGATATAGCCAAAGTTGTATACAGCCTGAGAGTAGGGAGGAGAAAACAGCTGGGTGAGGAGGTTCCAAAGGTGTGGACAGCCCAGGGCTTCATAGAGATGAAGCTGTGAGATCCAAGTAAATAATGATTTGAATGATAAGAGCTAACTATTCCCTCTCCATACCCCTGAGCTTGATTTCAGGATCATAGATTTAGCATTACAAGGGATCCTAAAGGTCATTTAGTCCAAATACCATCAATTAGCAGATTAAGAAACTGAGGCCCAGAGGTGAGGTCATTTGGCCAGAGTTGCACAGGTAATAAGTGGCAGGAGGAAGAGTTATACTAGAGTCCTCCCCCTCCCCAAAGTCAGCACTCTTTCTATTGTATCTTCTTCCCTGGTACAGGCTGAAGACTAAGGCAGGTTTCAGTATATTCCTAATTTTTTTTTAAACTAACTTGTTTTTTAAATTATGAAATCAGTTTTTTATGATTCCCAAGGCACCCTTTTAATCCTCACTTCTTCTTGTCATGAATCTTGAGGCCAGACTGTCCATGGGAGGAAGCTCATCTCTTCTCTGATGTTACCTATTTCCCCTCCCTAGGTGTGTCTGGTATCTGGGCCTTCTTCATGTTGGTGCTCTGGCCTCCCCCTGTCTGACTGGCAGTGAGACCCCTAGGGTAGGCATGGAGCTTCAGTCCTCCCCAGGATTGTGCTGGCTATGTAATTAGCTTAAAAAGCATACAGTGAGGTCCTCCTTGGAGAGGCAGACCTTCCACATAATTAATCTTCAGGATTCAGGTAAGGAAAAGCCCTGCTTCTAAAGGAAAAATTCTCCAGAAAAGGGAAGTGAATTTCCAAGGTAAGTCCCCTTACCTTGCATCAGCAGCACTTTGATGCTTCTCATGTCCCTTGGAAATAGTCCAGGAAGTTGCTCTACTTGACAGCTACTGCCTTTGAGGTCTGAGGAATGTGGATGGAAGAAAACCAGTGTTTACTAAAGGTCCACTCAGTCTGGGAGCCAAGATGGCAGAGTGAAAAGGTAGTCGCTCTCACTCTCCCCTATCAACCTCTGAAAACTCAGAAAATATCACCCCAGAAAAAGAAAACCCTGGAACACTTGAACTAGAAGAAAGAGGAGGAGCAGCAGTGCAGCAGCCCAGCAAACAGGTCTCCCAATGCCTCAGCAAAAAGAAGGGAGGCAGAACTACAAGGGGCCCCAGGCAGACAAGTACCCTGGGGCATTCATCTGAAAGGAGGTGAAGAAAACAACCTAAAGGCTCCCTAAAGCCCAGGCCTTGCTGATTCCAGCCCAACACCAGGTGAGCTGTAGGAGTCCTGAAGCCTCCAATTGTGAAGAAATCCTGAAGCCCAGGTGGTAGAGCAGGCAAACACCAACACCTGGACCTCCTAGTGCCTCAGTGAGGGCAGGGGGAACCGGTAGAAATCAGCTCAGAAAACCACCAGGAGCCTCGGCACTCCACCGCAAAGGAATCTCCTGGTGCATTAGCAGAAACGAGGGAGACAACACTGCAGGGGGTCCCAGGCAGATAAACATCCTGCAGCACCCATCTAAAAGGAGCGGAAGAAAGCTAAAGGAAAGGAAAAGCAGGCAACCTAGAATTGCCTCAAAGTTCCAGCCTTGCTGATTCCAGCCCAACACAAGGTAAGCTGCCAGAAACATACAGCCTCCAATTCCCAGCATAAGAGGCCCCAGCACTCAAAGCCAGTGACCAAGACCTAGGCTCCCAACACAAGAAGCTTGGGTCAGTACCCTCTGTTCCCCAGCAGGAGAGCTCAATCTCTTTAAAGGCCAGGGAATAAGGAAACACCATGAGTAAAAAGAAACATACCATAGACTCATATTACGAGAAGAGTGAAGATCAAGACAGAAATTAGAAGGGGACAACATTGTCAACAAACCCACATCTGCAACAACAAAAGGGAATATGAACTGGTCTGAATCCCAAAAAGCCTTCTTAGAAGAGCTCAAGAAGGATTTTAATAGTCAAATGAGAGAGTTAAAAGAGTCCTTCAAAAATACATTTGGCCAGTTGGAAAAAAAAATACACTGAAGAAATCAAGTCCCTAAAAAACACAATTGGCCAATTGAAGAAGGAAGGACAAAAACTAACAGAAGAGTACACTGAAGAAAACAAGTCCCTAAAAAACACAATTGGCCAGTTGAAGAAGGAAGTACAAAAACTAACAGAAGAGTACACTGAAGAAAACAAGTCCCTAAAAAACACAATTGGACAGTTGAAGAAGGAAGTACAAAACTAACAGAAGAGTACAAAAACAAGTCCTAAAAACAGAGTTGAAGAAAGTACAACTAACAGAATCTGTTAAAAACTAGAATTGGACAAATGGAAACTAATGTCTCTATGAGAGAGCAAGAATCAGTCAAACAGAAACAAAAAATGAAAAAATAGATGAAAATGTAAAATACCTCATCAGTAAAACAACCAACCTGGAAAATCCACTCAGGAGAGACAATTTAAAAATTATTGGACTACCTGAAAATCATGATGAAAAAAAGAGCCTGGACAGTATCTTTCAGGAAATCATAAAGGAAAACTGCCCGGAAGTCCTAGAACCAGAAGGGAAAATAACCATAGAAAGAATCCACGATCACCACCTGAAAGAGATCCCAAATTGACAATGCCAAGAAATATAATAGCAAAATTCCAAAATTACCAGATGAAAGAGAAGGTGCTGCAAGCAGCCAGAAAGAAAGAATTTAAATATCATGGAACCACAGTCAGGATTACACAGGACCTTGCAGCTTCTACATTAAAAGACCGCAGGGCATGGAACATGATATTCCATAAGGCAAAGGAGCTTGGAATGCAGCCAAGGATCAATTACCAGCAAAAATGAGCATCATTTTTCAAGGGAGGAGGTGGATATTCAACGAAATAGGAGACTTCCAAACTTTCCTGATAAAAAGACCAGAGCTCAACAAAAAATTTGATCTTCAAGTACAGGACTCAAGAAGGACTTAAAAAGGTAAATGGGACAGAAGGATACAATATGTTGTTAATAAGGGAATATGAGACTTGCAACCCTTGAGAACTGTATTGTTATTACACCTTGTTAAAGGAGTATACATAAAGAGGGTGGATATTAGTTGACTTTGATGTAATGATAAAAAAAAATCTAATCAAGTGGGTTAAATGGATCCAAATAAGTGGATCAATCTAATCTTAGAAAATGTACTGAGAAAGGAGGAGGCAGACAAGGGTAAATTACATTACAGGAAAAGACACAACATCCTATTACAGCAGAGAGAAAGAAATCATCAGATTTGGCTCAAGAAGGGCATAATATAATCAGTTAGGTATAGAAATCTAACTTGCCCTATAGGCAGTAGGAGGGGAAAGGGGAAAGAAAAGGGGGGGGGGGGGAAAGAAGGGAGGGAAACAGCAGTAAGACTAAAGGGGAAGAAAAGGGAAAAGGATAATAAAAGGGGAAAGAGAGTGAAGGAGGCGGTGGTCAAAAGCAAAACACTAGTGAAGGGGAGAAAGGAAAAAGGAGAAAGAAAAGCATAAATAGGGGGAAAGGATGGAGAAAAAGACACAGATAGTAATCATAACTGTGAATGTGAATGGGATGAACTCTCCCATAAAATGGAAACTGATTGCAGAATGGATTAAAAACCATAATCCTACAATGTTGTTTACAGGAAACACATTTGAAAAAGAGTGACACATACAGGGTAAAGGTAAAAGGCTGGAGCAGAATATATTATGCGTCAGCTGAAGTAAAAAAAGCAGGGGTAGCAATCCTGATCTCAGACAAAGCAAAAGCAAAAATAGATCTAATCAAAAGAGATAAGGAAGGAAACTACATCCTGCTAAAAGGCACCATAGACAATGAAGTAATATCATTACTAAATATATATGCACCAAATGGTATAGCATCCAAATTCTTACAGGAGAAGTTCAGGGAGTTACAGGAAGAAATAGACAGCAAAACTATACTAGTGGGGGACCTGAACCTCCCCCTCTCGGCACTAGATAAGTCTAACCACAAAATAAACAAGAAAGAAGTTAAGGAGGTGAATAGAACATTAGAAAAGTTAGGTATGATAGACCTCTGGAGAAAACTGAATGGGATAGAAAGGAATATGCTTTTTTCTCGCAGTACATGGCACATACACAAAAATTGACCATGTACTAGGGCATAAAAACCTCACAATCCAATGCAGAAAGGCAGAAATATTAAATGCATCCTTTTCAGATCATGATGCAATAAAAATTATATGTAATAAAGGGCCATGGAAAGATAGACTAAAAAATAATTGGAAACTAAATAATCTAATCCTAAAAAATGATTGGGTCAAACAACAAATCATAGAAACAATCAATAATTTCATTCAAGAGAATGACAATAATGAGACAACATACCAAAACCTATGGGATGCAGCGAAAGCAGTTCTTAGGGGAAGTTTTATATCTCTAAATGCTTACATAAATAAAATAGAAAAAGAGGAGATTAATGAATTGGGCATACAACTAAAAAACTAGAAAAAGAACAAATTAAAAATCCTCAACTAAACACCAAATTAGAAATATTGAAAACCAAAGGAAAAATTAAAAATTGAAATTAAGAAAACTATTGAACTAATAAATAAAACTAAGAGCTGGTTTTATGAAAAAACCAATAAAATAGATAAGCCTTTGGTTAATTTAATTAAAAAAAGAAAGAAGAAAACCAAATTACTAGTATCAAGAATGAAAAGGGCGAAGCTACCACCAAGGAAGAGGAAATTAAAACAATAATTAGGAATTATTTTGCCCAACTATATGCCAACAAATTTGACAATCTTAGTGAAATGGATACATATTTACAAAAATATAAATTGCCCAGATTAACCGAAGAGGAAGTAAAATACTTAAATAACCCCATCTCAGAAAAAGAAATTGAACAAGCCATTGATGAACTCCCTAGGAAAAAATCTCCAGGGCCAGATGGATTTACATGCAATTCTATCAAACATTTAAAGAACAATTAATTCCAATACTATATAGACTATTTGGGAAAATAGGTGAAGAAGGAGTCTTACCAAATTCTTTTTATGATACAAATATGGTGTTGATACCTAAACCAGGAAGAGTCAAAATAGAGAAAGAAAATTATAGACCAATTTCTCTAATGAATATAGATGCAAAAATTTTAAACAAATTCTTAGCAAGTAGATTGCAGCAACTTATCACAAGAATAATACACTATGACCAGGTAGGATTTATACCAGGAATGCAGGGTTGGTTCAATATTAGGAAAACTATCAGCATCATTGAGCATATCAACAACAAAACCAACAGAAACCACATGATCATCTCAATAGATGCAGAAAAAGCTTTTGATAAAATACAACACCCATTCCTATTAAAAACACTAGAAAGCATATGTATAAATGGAGTCTTCCTTAAAATAATAAATACCCAATATCTAAAACATTCAGCAAGCATTACATGTAATGGGGACAGGCTAGAAGCATTTCCAATAAGAGCATGGGTGAAACAAGCATGTACATTATCACCACCGTTATTCAATATTGTACTGGAAACCTTAGCTTTAGCAATAAGAGAAGAAAAAGAAATTGAAGGCATTAGAATAGGCAAAGAAGAAACAAAGCTATCACTCTTTGCAGATGACATGATGATATACTTAGAGAATCCTAGAGAATCAAGTAAAAAACTACTTGAAATAATAAACAACTTTAGCAAAGTTGCAGGCTATAAAATAAACCCACATAAATCATCAGCATTTCTATATATTACCAACAAAGCCCAACAGCAAGAGATAGAAAGAGAAATCCCATTTAAACTTACTGTAGACATTATAAAATATTTAGGAGTCTACCTCCCGAAACAAACCCAGGAACTCTATGAACACAATTACAAAACACTTTTCACACAAATAAAATCAGATCTAAATAATTGGAAAAACATCAGTTGCTCATGGGTAGGCCGAGCTAATATAATAAAAATGACAATCCTACCTAAGCTAATTTACTTATTCAGTGCCATACCAATCAAACTACCAAAAAATTATTTTATAGAGTTAGAAAAAATAATAACAAGATTCATTTGGAAAAACAAAAGGTCCAGAATATCAAAGGAACTAATGAAAAGAAATGCAGGGGAAGGTGGCCTAGCAATTCCAGATCTTAAATTGTATTATAAAGCAGCAATCATCAAAACTGCTTGGTACTGGCTAAGAAATAGGGAGGTGGATCAGTGGAATAGGTTAAATATGCAAGACACAGTAGTCAATGACTATAGTAATCTATTATTTGATAAACCCAAAGACCCCAGCTTCTGGGATAAGAACCCACTCTTTGAAAAAAACTGCTGGGAAAACTGGAAAAGAGTATGGCAGAAACTAGGCATAGACCCAAATCTCACACCATATACCAAAATAAAGTCAAAATGGGTTCAGGACTTAGATATAAAGGCTGATACCATAAGTAAACTGGGAGAACAAGGAATAGTTTACCTATCAGATCTATGGAGAACAGAAGAATTCATGACCAAACAGGAGATAGAGAACATTATGAAAAGCAAAATGGATAATTTTGATTACATTAAATTGAAAAGTTTTTGCACAAACAAAGCCAATGCAACTAAGATTAGAAGGAAGGTAGAAAATTGGGAAAGAATTTTTACAACCAGTCTCTCTGATAAAGGCCTCATTTCTAAAATATATAGAGAATTAAGACAAATTTATAAGAACACAAGCCATTCCCCAATTGATAAATGGTCAAAGGATATGAACAGACAATTCTCAGATGAAGAAATTAAAGCCATCTATAGTCATATGAAAAAATGCTCTAAATGTTATTGATTAGAGAAATGCAAATCAAAACAACTCTGAGGTACCACATCACACCTATCAGATTGGCCAACATGACAAAACAGGAAAATGATAAATGTTGGAGGGGATGTGGGAAAATTGGAACACTAATACATTGTTGGTGGAGTTGTGAAATGATCCAACCATTTTGGAGAACAATTTGGAACTATGCCCAAAGGGCTACAAAAATGTGCATACCCTTTCATCCAGCAATAGCACTTCTAGGGCTATATCCCAAAGAGATCAAACAAAAGGGAAAAGGACCCACATGTACAAAAATATTCATAGCAGCTCTTTTGTGGTGGCAAAGAATTGGAAATTGAGAGGATGCCCATCAATTGGGGAATGGCTGAGCAAGGTTGTGGTATATGAATGTAATGGAATACTATTGTGCTATAAGAAATGATGAACAGGCTGACTTCAGAAAAACCTGGAAAGACTTCTATGGTCTGATGCTGAGTGAAGTGAGCAGATCCAAGAGGACTTTGTGCACAATAACAGCCACGTTATGCAAGGACTAAGATTGTTAAACTGAACCCTTCCCAGCAATACAAGGATCTAAGACATCTCCAGAGGCCTCGGGATGGAAAATGCTGTCCATATCCAAAGAAAGAACTATGGAAGTCGAATTGCTATCGCTTATTTTTACCTTCTGTTGAGTTTTGTTTCATCTTTCTGATGGTTCCTCCTATTGGTTTTAATTTATACTTACAACTTCACTGATGTGAAAATATGTTTCATGGGTATGTAAATGTAAAGCCTATATCAGATTCTGTGCTGTCTTGGGGAGGGTGGAGGGGAGGAAAAGGGAGAAAAATTTTCAACTCAAAAGCATATGGAAAAAATAAAAAATTTTTAAAAATTTTAGAAATTAAAAAAAATAAAGGTCCACTCAGTAGATGCCTGGGTGTTCTGAGGGTTCTACTACTACTACTACTACTACTACTACTACTACTACTACTACTACTACTACTACTACTACTAGGTTATCCTGTGTTATGACCATCTCCATCCCAATGGAAACTTGGACTCCTCTGAGTTGGATAGGTGAACGTTTGCATATCTTTCCAGGGCCCAGGCCTCCAGCCCACTCCCTGGCTATCCCTGTCCATGCCCTATCACATGGGCACCCTCCTCAGCTCTCCACCAATTTTCAACTGGAGCCACATCAACACTCCTCTATGTGTTGTCTTCTGTTAGAATGTAAGCTTTTGGAAGTCAGAGCTATCTTGCTTGCTTCTATTTATATCTCTGGCACTTAGCACAGTGCATGGCATTAGCACAGTGCTTAATACATTATTGCTCTGTCTATCTAGAGCATCTATCTTTCTGTCTGCCTACATGGCACTGTTACATACTATCTCGTTTGATTCTCTTAAAAAGTCACTTAATTTCTTTGTACCTCAGTTTGGTTGGATTAAATGGCTTCTGAGATCCTTTCCTGCTCTAGATCTGAGATCTTTTCATCTTGGGATTATATTACTTTGGATCACACTTATCTGAATCTATCCTACTACTCTGCTAGATACTGGGGATGTGCCTTCAGTGCATTTTGCATCTCCCCTTTGTCCAACATGGTGATCTGTATAACACAGCCATTCAATAAATGTCAAATTGCATTTCATTGAATCAAATAAACTTGAAGTCATACATTTAGAAGTGGAGGAGGACCTTAGAAGTCATCTTGTCCAAACCCCTTGTTTTATAGATGAGGAGACTAAGGCACAGAGAGGATGAATGAATTAGCCAAGGTCACCCAGATCATAAGGGGTGGAGCCCAGATTCTAACCTAGGTCTTCTGACTTGGAATCTAACACTACTTCCACTCCAGGATGGGACCCAGATGGAGTAATAAGCTGGTAGACCCTATTTTCATGTGGCTAGAGGTGGAGAAAGAGGAAGAATATCAACTGCACAGGTATAGAGGCCAGATATTGTCCTCATTTTATTGTTGGGGAAACTGAGGCTCAGACAGGTTACAAGGAGACATAGCTATTAAACAGATTTGGGTTTTCTGCTCTCTAGGCCAGAAGTCTCTGCCCTCCAAGAACTTACAGTCTAGTTGGAGAGACCAATACAGACACAAGAAAAAAGAGTTATAAAAAGAACGGACACTTACATCACAAAAAATAAACAAATATGAATTAATCCAGTATAATGGAAACACTGGAGGGAGGAAGAGGAGGGAAGAAAGTAAAGGAGCAGTTGGACCATATGAAGATTGAGGAATGGGAATATTTCAACTGGAGAAGAGAAAGCTCAGGGGCAACATGATAACCTTTTCCTAGAACAGGGGTTAGACTTGTTGGCTTTGTGGCCACAGGGCAGAACCAGATGGGAGTGGCAAAGAGGCACCTTTAGGCTTGATGCCAGGGAAAATTTTCTAAGAAATACAGCAATTAAAAGATGGGGTTAGCTGTTACCCCTGTGTGGGACAAGTGAAAATTTCTTATATAAAATGGAAGCTATGCTCCAAAAATGTAGTAAGGCTTTAGCATGAGCTGGGCCTAAGTTTCACTTTCCCGAAAATCTTATGTTTTGGGGGAAATAAAGTCCTACACCAGCTGCCCACCCCCTCCCTTGTTTTGTAACCACTACCCTAGCCTTATCTTTGCCAAACAAGGCAATCTGCTAGCTTCCAAGCTTGTTTTGGGTAAAATGTATCTCTTAGTTCCTGGGTAAAGTTGTTTGTCTCTTACCTCAGCCAATGGGGATAAAGAGATTCAGGTAAACAAGTGGGGGTGGGTTTCTTAGAGTTGTTTGTCTAAGGGTATATAACTGCTTGTTTGCTGTTTGGATCCTGCTTCCTTACTCCAGTCCATGCTGGGTAGGTGATGCCCAATTCTCGCAGGAGACTTGCTAGAATAAAACTTATGTTTCTGAGAGAAACCTCTGAATTTTTATTTGGGTAGGTGGTCTCTACCCCACTCACCCCTCATCAAAGTTCTTCAAGCAAAGGCTGAATGACCCTTTATTGGGGATGTTGAAACGAAAATGATTTTTCATATATATACAGGTTGATTGCCAAGATCCCTTTGCCCTCTGAAATTCTATCATTCTGTGAGTTTGGAGATGAAAGAAGGGCTGTGCCTCATACTCCCACCCCTATTTTTTCTAATCTTGCTTCCTTTTCCTTCTGTTCCCTATCTGACCTATCTTAATAAAGAGAATTTTGTATAGTTTCTTGGGTATAACTTTGGATGGGATACCTCTATGAAAGTCCTCTCACCCACACATCATAACAAATGACTGCATATGACTCACAAAGAAATTGTGGGATTTCTTCATTTATTATATTTGTAATGGCTACACCAGCTGCCACTTGGCCTCAGGCTGGACTAATGTGCTTTGGAGAGGATCTTTTTTCAGAATGCTTTCAAAATCATGAAGACGAAACAGTTCCCCAAAACCAGCAATGATGCTATCATTCAGCTAATCAGTTAGTAAACATATATTAATTGTCTTCTATGTGCCAGTCTGTGTTTGAAGTACTGGGGGTACAATGAAAAGGAAAAAGACAGTCCCTGGTCCCAGGGAGCTCACACTCTCACATGCATACAGTTCACATGCATGTAGATGTATCAATGCATCTTTGCTCAGCTGTGCAAACAGCCAAGCTGTAGAAAGGATAAATTGGAGATAATCAATAGAAGGAAGGTACTAGAATTAAAGGGGTTCGGGAAAGATTAATATGTGGGTTACAGAGCAAGTTCATGATGAGTAATGGATTGTGAGATCTAACACGATCCTCATATTCATGACAAGAACAAAGAAGGTGATGATATGATATTTGCCAAAGAGCTTCTATCAGAAGAAACTCCTATCTGTCTGGTTCAGGTTAGCACAGTCCTATCCAAAGGCAGGCGGATGGATAATCTTTGGGGTATTTTGTCCTTTGCATTCTCTCTTTCCACTGCAGCAAGAAAGGAGATTTTATAAACTAACTCTCTAAGGTTGAATTCTATGGGGAATAAGATAAGAAAGGTCCTTACCTTTCTGACTGGCATCATAGGCTGCAAAAATCAGGCTAAAGAAGAGAATTGTATCCATATTCGCAACAGCACATGCTCCCCTTTGGGTAGCTGATCTTCCAGGGCTGCTGGGCTGCACCCACTGCCGTCAAGGTTAGGTCTGATCTCAGGAGGCTTTGTTCAACCCAGAGAAATTCGCTTCATTTCTCAATGATCAAGACTTTGAGCTGATACGAGAACGGGCTGAATAATTTATTAATGATTGACTCAACTGGTCTTCCCCTAACTTCCCCAAGATTGCTGACAAAGGGAATTGTACCATGGGGAGGTTTCCCCAAGCCGAGAGGGCATGCAGATACACATATACTCATGTATACAGAGGCACACAATAATACCCATAAGGTTTAAATCCGGAAGAGAGCTTAATGATCATTTAGTACAACCTCCTCATTTTATAGAGGAAGAAAGGCACTGACAGAGAGGTTATGTGGCTTATTGGCCCACGTCACACAGCTATTAAGTACTAGAGCCCTGTGTACAGACAAACATAAACACATGCATGTAGACCAACAGAGGAACTGGAAAAGGGACACACAGGATGAGAATGGATGGAAGGGGTCTTGTTGGCACTAATAGAGGAAATACCACCAGAGGCTTATATGCAAAGGCACAAAGGACTAAATCAAATCAAATCAGCAATGATTTATTAAGTACTCTCTAGGTGGCAGGCACTGTGCTAAGTACTGGAGATACATACAGCTATAATTTTAAATTTTAATATAATTTAAGAATTTAATTTTAATTTATATATATATATGTCTATATAATAAACAAGGGAGTGGCATACAGGTGGAGAGATATATCTTGGGTGCAGTGGGAAAAGAAGTAGATTAGGAGTCAGAGAACCCAGCTCTGCCACTTATTTCCTGTGTGACTTTGGTCAAGTCACTGAACTTCTCTCTGGGCTTCAGTTTCCTCATCTTTAAAATGAGGAGATTAGACTGACTTCTAAAGTCCTCTCCAACTCTAAATCTGTGATCCTACCTGTGATTTATTTGTACAGGGAATTTCTATTATGAAAATTCCTTCTGCTGATAGGGATCAGCAAATCATTTTAATTTCCAGTGTCACAGATGCCTGGGGCACTAAGAAGTTGTTACTTTCCTATGATCACACAGTTAGTATGAAGCAGATGTAGAACTTGAATCCAGGTCTTCCAGATTCCAAGACTAGCCTTGTATCCGTTAAGCTGTGCTGTCTGTCACTAAGACTCATACATAAGCAGTACTTAATACAGTGCCAAGCAGATAGTAAGCACATAATAAATGCTTGTTGACTGGCTGACTGACAGAAATATACAGAAGGGCACACATAGATGGATACTGAAATGTGTATTAGACTTATCCATGTTCAGACAGGCAAACCCAGGATTACACATAGTAATGTAGTCACACCCTAAATAATTCAGATATGTATGTCTAAATATCCCCATATCTCACTTCCTTCCTCATCTCTCTACCAACATCATTACTAGCATAACTGGCTGTTTCCCTGGTGTAGTCCCTTATCATCTCTCTACTGGACTATTGTAATAGCCTCCTAATTGGTCTCCTTTCCTCAAGTTTCTCACTCTATTTTATTCTCCATATATCCGTGAAAGTGATTTTCCTAAAGCATGGCTCTGACCATGTCACTCTTTACTTAATAAACTCTAGTGGTTCCTTATTTTAGTAGACAACACAAAATCCTCTGTTTTGCCTTTAAAGTCCTTCACAGCTAGGCTCCAACCTACCTTTTTGGCTTTCTTAGACCTTACTTCTCTTCATGAACTCCACCATCCAATCAAACTGGCCTTCTAGGTATTCCTCCCACATAACATGCTCTCATCTCCATGCTTTTGCACTTATTATCTGCCATACCTGGAAGGCTCACCTTCCTCACTTTCAACTCACGGAATCTCTAGTTCCCTTCAAGGCTCAACTCAAGGGCCACCTCCTTCAAGAGACCTTTCCTGATTCCCACGTTTCCCCGTGAAATAACTTTGCGTATATTTTGTGCAAAACCTCTACGTAGTTCATTGTGAACATGTTGTGTTCCAGCCATCCCTGTCAGGGCTTCTTAAACTTTTTCTATTTGCCACCCCTTCAACGCTTCTTAAACTATGAGTCTCGACCCCATATGGGGTCTCCAGGCTTAGTATTTTGTATATGGTGCCACCTAGATGCCTCTCTATCTCTCTATTAATGCATCTATCTTGTCTCTTCATTGTTCTAAATGTTTCATTTTCCTTAAAGGGTAAAGACCGGAATGTACATGCTCTAACACCCTGTCCAGTAGACTCAAAGGGAGCAACACTTAGATATAGATGAGGAAAATGAGGAAATGTTCCACTCAGTTCCTTTGCCCCAAGCCCAAGGCCTCCACAGCCCTCCCAGTCAAGATCAAATTAGATCTTTTTGTCCAGTACTTATTTGGAAGAAGACAGTGGGAATTCACATTTAGTAGATTTAATTCAATCTAATTAAATTTAATAAGCATTTACTAAGCACCTACTATGTGTAAAGCACTGTGCTAGGTATTAGGGATAAAAAGATAACAATGAATAAGTCCCTACCTTCAGTGAGCTTACATTCTAATGGGGGTGCTGTAATATACTTAGCCCTTCTCCATCCCTAGAGAGGAAGAGGAGTGTCTCATAAGAGATGATGAAATCAGGGAGAATTGCTGGTGTCACTCAAAACCATATGTGCAATGGCAGGAGAGAGAGAGAGCAACATGATGAAAAGAGAGGAAGTTGGTGACAGTTAACATCACCGCAGTGCTGGTTCTTCAAGCAAAGAAGTGGTCCTGAGAAATTTGACTTTTGAGATTCTATAGGACACAAAGAATTGAAGGATCAACTAGTTCCCTCGATATTCAGGACCTTTTGTTTTTCCAAATGAATCCTGTTATTATTTTTTCTAACTCCATAAAATATTTTTGGTAGTTGGATTGGTATGGCACTGAATAAGTAAATTAGCTTAGGTAGAATTGCCATTTTTATTATATTAGCTTGGACTATCCATAAGCAACTGATGTTTTTCCAATTATTTAGATCTGACTTTATTTGTGTGAAAAGTGTTTTGTAATTGTGTTCATATAGTTCCTGAGTTTGCTTTGGGAGGTACATGCCTAAATATTTTATAATGTCTATGGTAAGTTTAAATGGAATTTCTCTTTCTATCTCTTGCTGTTGGGCTTTGTTGGTAATATATAGAAATGCCAGCGATTTATGTGGGTTTATTTTTATAGTCTGAAACTTTGCTAAAGTTGTTTATTATTTCAAGTAGTTTTTTACTTGATTCTCTAGGATTCTCTATGTATATCATCATGTCATCTGCGAAGAGTGATAGCTTTGTTTCTTCTTTGCCTATTCTAATACCTTCAATTTCTTTTTCTTCTCTTATTGCTAAAGCTAATGTTTCCAGTACAATATTGGACAACAGTGGTAATAATGGGCATCCTTGTTTCACCCCCTATCTTATTGGAAATGCATCTAGCTTGTGCCCATTACATATAATGCTTGCTGAAGGTTTTAGGTAGATGCTATTTATTATTTTAAGGAAGACTCCATTTATACCTATGCTCTCTAGTGTTTTTAATAGGAATGGATGTTGTATTTTGTCAAAAGCTTTTTTTGCATCTATTGAGATGATCATGTGTTAGTTTTGGTGTTGATATGCTCAATGAGCTGATATTTTCCTAATAATGAACCAGCCCTGCATTCCTGGTATAAATTCTACCTGGTCATAGTGGTATTATTCTTGTGATAAGTTGCTGTAATCTATTTGCTAATATTTTGTTTAAAATTTTTGCATCTATATTCATTAGAGAATTGGTCTATAATTTCTTTCTCTGTTTTGACTCTTCCTAGTTTAGGTATCAGCACCATATTTGTATCATAAAAAGAATTCAGTAAGACTCCTTCTTCACCTGTTTTCCCAAATAGTCTATATAGTATTGGAATCAATAGTTCTTTAAATGTTTGATAGAATTTGCACGTAAATCCATCTGGCCCTGGAGATTTTTTCCTAGGGAGTTCATCAATAGCTTGTTCCATTTCTTTTTCTGAGATGGGGTTATTTAAGTATTTTACTTCCTCTTCTGTTAATCTGGGTAATTTATATTTTTGTAAATATGTATCCATTTCACTAAGATAGTCAAATTTGTTGGCATACAGTTGGGCAAAGTAGTTTCTAATTATTGCTTTAATTTCCTCTTCCTTGGTGGTAGATTAACCTTTTCATTCTTGATACTAGTAATCTATTATTTGATAAACCAAGACCCCAGCTTCTGGATAAGAACCCACTCTTTGATTTTTATTTTATTTTCATTTATTTATTTATTTTAGGCAATTGGGGTTAAGTGACTTGCCCAGGGTCACACAGCTAGTAAGTGTCAAGTGCTTGGTCTGAGGCCAGATTTGAACTCAGGTCCTCCTGACTTCAGGGCCGGTGCTCTATCCTCTGGGCCACCTAGCTGCCCCTGAACCCACTCTTTGAAAAAAACTTCTGGGAAAACTGGAAAGGAATATGGCAGAAACTAGGCATAGACCAAAATCTCACACCATATACCAAAATAAAGTCAAAATGGGTTCATGATTTAGATTAAAAGGCTGATACTATAAGCAAACTGGGAGAGCAAGGAATAGTTTACCTATCAGATCTATGGAGAACAGAAGAATTCATGACCAGAGAGGACATAGAGAACATTACAAAAAGCAAAATGGATAACTTTGATTACATTAAATTGAGAAGTTTTTGCACAAACAAAACCAATGTGACTAAGATTAGAAGGAAGGTAGAAAATTGGGAAAGAATTTTTACAACCAGTCTCTCTGATAAAGGCCTCATTTCTAAAATATATAGAGAATTAAGTCAAATTTATAAGAATACAAGTCATTTCCCAATTGATAAATGGTCAAAGGATATGAACAGGCAGTTCTCAGATGAAGAAATTAAAGCCATCTACAGTCATATGAAAAAATGCTCTAAATCACTATTGATTAGAGAAATGCAAATCGAAACAACTCTGAGGTACCACATCACACCTATCAGATTGGCCAACATGACAAAACAGGAAAATGATAAATGTTGGAGAAGATGTGGGAAAATTGGAACACTAATGCATTATTGGTGGAGTTGTGAAATGATC